GTACCTTACGTAAGAACAGAGTTACAACTGAGGTTTGCCTGGTGCATGATGGGACTGACTCGCGAAGAATATGATTCGGAAGAAAGGAAGAGGTCAAAAGAAGAGAAGTTTTTCCTTATGACGAACCTGAGGGATCTGATAGTCCAAGAGGGAGCAGCAGTAGCGTGTGCGAAGCGGAGAGATTCTCTCTGTTTCATTCGATTCATGATGGAGCAGATTTCAGTACCTGCATTGAACACTTGTGTTAAAATGCTGAGGGAAGGCGATGAGCGAGCGAACGCTTTACTGTTGCTAGCACTGCTGGATATGCAGCAAAGCAAACCGATGAGGGTGAATATGAAAGAACCCGAGGAGTTAGAACCCATGAGAAAGATAGACGAAATCAGGAGATTCTCAAACAAGGAGCTGAGACTCACTGAAGAATCTATGGGGCAACTGCCGAAATCCAGTGAATACTGTGGACTGATCAAGAAGAAGTCGTACAGCTACGTATCCGGAATCATAGGGATAGCGTACAACCCTTTCCTGAGTGAAGACATACGCGATTGCTTCTTCGATTACGAGCAGGCAGTGTTACTAAGATTCTGGACGTCGAGAATTGTAACAATTAAGAGCGCTAATAATCCACAGACCAAATTGGGACTGGTTTTGGAAGAAGGGGTGACTGCTCCTTCCGTACCAAAATCCGACAAAAGAGTGGAGTTCGGGTTGGGATTCTCAGAAGAATTACTGAGAACGAGCTTGATGTGTGGGAATTGATGAGGCCATCATGGTGTCCTAGTCCCAACGCTGACTCGATATTACGGGCGACACAAGACGTGTAGAGGGAGCTGAATGCAGACTGTAACCTGCGTGACCTTAACATCATATATAATGTGATGATAACGGCCTCTAGGAGCAACGGAGAAGATAAAGTGGAGTTGCCTGGCTGGGGACCAGAAGACTGGGTCAAACCTGGTAGCTGTCTGGCGGAAGTCTGTGGACTGGAGGGTCACGTTTGTGGAAGTATGGACTGTGTGAAGACCCTAGAGAAACAACACAAGCAATTGACGGTATTGTTTGGGAATGTCGTGATGAAAGCAAGAACGGAAACGGAACTGATAGCGGATTGTCATGGAGGAACCGAGGTGAATCTAGTGACTACACTTGGATTCTACAGCATGTTTAGCATGTTTAGTTCTTTAGAGTCACTATTGAATCTAGAACAGAGACATGAGATGGTCACTGCCATCAGTGTAGAGGTATTCCCAGGAGTTCTGCAAACCGAGCAGAAACACATAGGAAAATGGAGGGAAGCGATCGAGGCAGAAATGAACATCAGACACAGTGAGACTTATTGTAGACCATCAGGAGCACGATATTTGGTGGGTTCGACATTGGCTGCAATGTGCAAGAGCAGATACCCGGTGCATTTTGTAGCCGTGGATGTAAAGAGTACGAGAACGATCGTGGATCAAGCCTTCTCAGTGCCAAAGTGTGTTAGACTAACGAGAATGTCCGAGAAATCTTAGGAGTTGCTATGTAAGATGTTCTCAGCAGTTCCAGAGAGAACCAAGGAGGAGTTGGAATCGATACTGGGAAGGAAGTTCATAGGATACGTGAGCGGGAACTTCAGTGACTTTGAGAGACAGAAACAGAGAGGATCAACTGTTACAGATTACAATACAGTGGACGAGAATGATGAAGTCCACCGAATGATGATGGAAGTGGAACCATTACTGGAAGCTTCGGGAAAACGTAATTGGAGGAGCATCATGTTGACACATGACGAGTTTCCTTGCCACTGCTTGCTGCAGACCTGGTGGTATCCCAAGCGTAGTAATCTGGTGTTGATCTGGGACTCTGGAGAGCTGCTCTCCATGGGTTTACCAGACTCATCACAGCCCATAACAGTAGTGATAGTAGAGTCATGATGGCGATACGATGGCTGGAAGCTCATGTGAAATAAAACAATAGACAGGAGGCACCGACGAGAGGACAGTTGCGGAAATTGGATTGTCTGAAAGATTTAGATCTTTTTGAGACAATGTGCAAGATTCTAAACATTCCGATGGAAGTGAAGAAGATATGGGCAAGAAAATGATTGATGCCATGGTTCAGAGCTAACATGACTGCATGGTTGTACGAATATGCTAAGAAGCATATGTAGAAGCACGGCAGAGTGTACAGTGAATATCAGCTGGACATTGGATCAGGAGCTTTCAAGCAAGCTCTCGTGACTCATCGGAATGCAGTGATCACCGCTGTGAAAGAATTTCCAGGACAAGTGAACGTAGTGGAAAGGAGAAGGCAGAGATGTTGAAGGAAGATTTGGAGAGAAATGTGACGTTGTGTCTTCACAACAGCTTCTGCAGGAACAAAGAATCTAACGTGGATCCCCTACCTTGCTGCAAACAGAGGGTAGAAGAGCAGAAGTGTTGTAGGACTGCTTCCAACAGTGTCAGAATAGCTAATGATGTGTTGCAAGACACAGAAACTGAAAGTGCAGGAAGAGATGGAACATTGACGAATGGCCAAAAAACGAGATGCAAAAAGAGATGAAATTAGAAGAATTTAGAAGTTTTAGAACTTCTAAACAACGAAAAAAGAAGAAACCAAAGGAGTGATGAAGAAAAATTTAAAACTCAGAATTGTTTTTTGTGTGTGAAAAAACTCAAGTGAGAAACTAAGCAACCAAGTTGTAATTGAAAACTGAAACATTTAGTTGAGTTTTGAAATTGTTGCATTTATAAATTTGCATTTTGATTTTAGTTAAGTGGCTTTAGAGACACTTACTTACTGTTTATTCAGAAAGGATTGAGTGAAAGAGTATATTGAAATATTCCAGCCTGCATGACTGTTATTAATCAACTAGGAGAACTGATCACTTTGTGGTGATATGAAAGGCTTGGGTAATCTCTCGAAGAGGGAGATTGTTTCATTGTTCTTTCTAACCACAGAGTTTCTTAGTTTTAATATTCAGGACAATAACAAGCAAGATTTCCGAAGGGAAGAAGCATAGTAGGATAATTTTAGCTTGTTGGTTGGCAGGACTGTCCTGCAAACCAACACCTTTTAAATCTAGGAGAAAAAGTTTTTAATCAGGACATTGACATTGGGAGTCGGAAAATATGTTTTTATCTTAGGTCATATCCTCAATGTGCAGATTAATGAAAGAATTTGAAGGCTATAGTGATGTAGTATGATGCCATTTATATTCTGCAGTGAGTCGATATGACGTGGATAAAAGTAATTTCGTGCATTTTGTAAATTCTGTTCGATGACACTGTACCTACTTTACGACCATTGCGAGATTCAATGAGGACATTGACCGGACTGTCCGGGGAGTATGTGACAATCGACCAGAATGGACCAAAATGCAGATTCAGCATATTCGAGTTTTTAACAGTGAACCTTCTGAATTGACGGTTTTAAGTGATTAACGACGTTATTGGGACGATTAGTCAAACGATGAAGGTCAAGATATTCTGGTATTTTGAAACTTTAGAAATTCAAAGTATGACGTCATATTTCTGAGAAACGTCAGAAATGGCCATTTTGGCCAAAAACCGGAAGAAAAACACAACAACATTAGTTGCGATAGCGAAAACAACGAAGATTGTGGTTGAAAAACAACAACGAATTGCAGAAGTAGCAGAGACCGCTCCGAGTTGCAAGTATTGTGTCGCTACAATAGTTGCAAGTCCGTTGCGAACAACGGTGAAGGGTGGAAAACCAGCCTTCCGGAAGAAGATAAGAGACTTATTTCCCCGGATTCAGGAATCCGGAGGGGTCTCGGGACTGGAACTTTTATTAACTTATATAAACTTTTAGCTTCCCTGTCATGTCCTGAGTTGAATTTAATTAACATCTCAATTCATTTTGCTAGGTTGAGAAGCTAGGAGTTGGGGGAAAGGGTTGATCCATCTTCGATGGAGATGATGATTTTTATCTACTGAACAAAAACAATAATCATTCAATAAATAGTAGTAGCCCTGTTTTTAGGAGTGACCTCGTGGTCTGGGGATACTGAGAACCAGCCATGAGTTCACTATTTCTGCATGTAATTAAGCTAATTTGAGTGTTTTGACCAAAGCCGAAAGCAGTAACGTTTTTTGTCGAAAGTACTGGCTTGGTAGAGACGGTTAAAAGCATGTAAAGCTCTGTTTAGACATTGGCCAGTCGTCTTAGGACTTAGTTTTATTTTCCGTCGATATGTATCTTCCGGGCGAATGTTACAAATCTTTAAAAAAAATTGTAAATTTCAAGTTTAGGTACGGTCGTGCACAAGCTGGATAGTGCCCATACCAGCATTATATAAACAGATCAAAACACAATATTGCAGGAATTAAGTCAAGTCAGCATTTAATGCCTTGTCATTAGAGGTATTCACTTCAAGCGTCCCTCCTCTACAACAGCAATAACTGAATTGCCTATGAATTGCATCTTATGCAGTGATCTCCAACCCCGTATACAGAGGATAGCGCTCCTGAGCAGCGCGAAGCTAATCTTAGTTCTTATAGAGTTTATTGTTTCTGCGTAGCTTTCATGCCTTTTTTCAATAAGTTTTTCAGCTATGCTCTGCATTGTCCGGGTAGCTAGTGTGCGGCATCACCAGTGAAGCCAGAAGTGAGCGTGCAGAAGCTGCTCTGTTTAACAATTTTTGTACAAGTAATTCCGGTATAATTTTGTTAGGAATGATTTGTCAATTTGTTCGAGGTCGATATTTCCTTTTTCGTTTTATAATCAATTCTTGACTGGTTTTTTTGCAAAATTTTTGTCAGCCTTTCCTGTTCGAGATTTTTTTATCGATGTTAGATTTTTTTTTTTATATATCGATGGTTTGATGTCCTAACTTTCTTTCAACATTGATACTAGCATAAACAGATTACGTAGTTCAAAGCAATACGATAATGGAAGCAGTCCCAGTTCAGTAAGTCTTTGTTTATAGCTCTTATTCCAATTACCCATTATCAAACTTATTTCTTTCCTTTGAACTTGTTAAAGTTAATAATCTTATTAAATAGTCTTTTACATTTTAATTGTTTGGTGCTACGACGAGGTCAAGATTGGCCTCTAAAAGTCAAGATTGTTGCACCATGTGTTCCAAGTCAGTGGGGGAGAACTGGCTGATGTGCGAGGGCTGCGAAAAGTGGACGCATAGCTCGTGTATGGGATACTTTCATGATATCTTCAAATTTCTGGAGAGGACCGCAAATGTAAAGTTTCTCCGCAATGGGTGCCTAAGTGCTGATAATCGTTCAAAATCTACTGTGGTTGTGGGCAAGCTGTCAAAAGGCATTGAGGACATCAAGGAGTCACTGGAGATCATAAAATCTCGGCTTACGTGCAATCCTTCTCCTCCCAAACTGGAAACTAAGTATTCTAGTGTCGATAAATCTAGTTCCGATATATCTCAAGAATTGAGATTTAGTAGTATGCCGGAAATTAGCATAGGCACTGACCGCAAAATTGATAAATCGAAAAATTTTGAGCAAGATGAAAAAATGATAAGCAATACAATGAAATTTCTTGGTGCAAATGCAGTGGAAATTTCCTTTTTCCACAAACTCGGAAAATTTAATGCTACTAATAAAAGACCCAGACAAATTTTGGCGAAGTTTCGAAATGTTGTTACGGCAGATAGATTATTTGCGCGTGCAACTATGTTGAAAAATTACGAACCAAACAAATTTTTAGTTTTTAGATCAAAATCCTTAAATGAAGAGGACCAAGAAAGGGAACGAAACTTGTTAAAGAAAAGACGTGAACTACTTGAAAGCGGAAACGAAGCAAAGAATAAAAAATGAAAAAAATAACACCTTATACCTGAAAAACCAAGCAGTAAAATGCACTGAAAGACTACCAAACAAAACCGGAGAATTAAGAGCACTATGTTACAATGTAAGAAGTTTACTCAAACCAGAAAGAAGACAAACGTTTTCGAACAGTATAGTTTTAAAGAACTTTGATATGATTTGCCTGTCTGAAACTTGGCTTACAAATGAAATCCGCTAATCCGGGATTTTTCATGGAAATTACAACTGTTTTCTAATAAACAGAAGATCTTCGCTGCAATCAACATCTCACGGTAGAACTTTAATTGGCGTAAAGTCAGGCTTAATGACAGAACCTGCAAATTTTTGTTGTAATACCAACGGAGTGGCAGTAGCATGCTACATTAAGCTAGATAAACGGAAATTGCTTGTTGTCTCTTATTATCTACCGCCTGCAAATAGTAAATATGCTCTGAAAACCAAATAAAGTATATAACCTGTTTTAAGACATAAATAAATTGCGGAAGAACTGTGATTTGCTTATTTTTGGTGACTTCAATTACCCCTCAATAAATTGGTGCAACATGTCATAAATTAAAGGAAACGAATTATCTTTTTTGGAAGAAATTGAGAATCTTGAAGTTCATCAAAATGTTAAGTTTACTACTGCCTCAACTGGTACTCTCGATTTGATCTTCAGCAAAAAAAAACCATGTAGCAGATGTTCATACCTTGGACACTAACGATAAATTGGGAAAACTTTCTAACAACTATCCGGTCGAAATCTCTTTCAACGTAGAGTTATCGGATCTTTTGCGTAGTAAGTTCTTATTGCAATGGTGATTACGATTTACTCATTAAGCAAATACTAGAAAACCCTTTTGACTTTTACTGTTGGTCAAACGTAAATGTGATACTAAATCATTGGTATAACTGGTTATGCCCGCTTATTTAAAAGTGTATTCCACAGCGCACTAAACATAGATCATCATTGCCGCCATGGATACGGAATCGAATTCGAATCTAATTAAATGCTTACATACAGCTCGAAAGAAATATACCGAGTCTCATCCAAAACTTTGCACTTAATTGAACAACCAGAAACGAACGCCGAGTTAGACAAAGCCGATAATGAACAGTCTCTTGCGTCAGAGCGATCATCGATCATCAGCTGTTGCTTTCAAAAGTGATTTTGGGACGTTATGAGGCATGTAATCTAGACATACCAAACGTTTCACTGAGTTCTCGCTTGCAAACTTGTTTCAGCTGAGACGTCCAAGGAAAGCCAAACGCAAACAGAACTTCATGTAGCAAACCTGTTGACTTGCGAATGTGTTGAAGACCAATTTAAGAGAATGGATTGGCTTGAAACAACGACTTCTAAAAATCTTCTGGTCGAAATCCGAGCAATACAATGAGAGCGACAAGTGCACTTGGAAATTAGCGTGCGATTGTACGACGAACAATTGCAGAAATAGAGCTGTAATTTGAAACGAGAAACTGACGGTGTCCAAACCCCTTGTGTGAACCACAGAATTCATATTACTATTACTATTGCTGAACACGTTCTATTTCTTTAATTTCAATTTAGTTCGCGAACCAAATGGTGATGCATAACTTACTACAGGTATTGCATAACCTACATATTCATTGGAATAAGTGTTTTTAGCGTAGCAGCAAGAGAGGAGATGTTTTTTAAGGAACTAGAATGCTTTCCAAGCTTTATTACACCTGTTATCGACATTTGGTTTCCATGACAGTTTGCTGGCAATGATTAACCCGAGGTCTTTTCGTGCGGTTGTTTCAGAAACCTGTTTTGAGTTCAACGTGAAACCATGCTTTACGCCTTCTTTCCGTTTTATTGGCAAAATGAAACATTTGCCTTCTTTTAGTTTCATTTTATTAGCATTGCACCAATCCCCCTTTTTCGATATATCTTTCTCTATCTTTCCTGGCATCAAAAATACAAGCTTGAAATCATCCGCATAACCGAACGTTACAATTTCAGTCAGGTACTGTTTCAGAAATAGATTCCTTTACTTTAACGTACTGTTTGCGGTCAGATAAGTAACCAGCAACTATATTAGGAAAATTACACCTAATGTCTAATTTTTCAAATTTTGGAGCAGCGAGTCGTGTGAAACACTGTCAAATGCTTTTCTGAAGCCAAAGTATATCATAAAAATTTCGCTTTCCTTTCCATCGTATTCGTTCTATACAAGATCCAAAAACAAAAGTAGTTGAGTAATAACTGACCGATGTCTTCTAAATCCATGTTGCAATTGGTCTAGTTGCTTTTTTACAATATCATACAATTCATCAAAATTAAGTTTTTCCAGAATTTTTGATATGCTACATAAAAAACTAATGGGTATATACTGTTCAACCATTGCTCTGTTTCCGTCCTTGTATAATGGTATTGCTTCAATTATCTTCCAATAGGTTGGAAAAAAGCCTTTATTTGGGGCGGTTTTGAAAATCAGTATTAATGACTTGGACTAAGATGGTAGATTTTTGAGAACTGTGTTTCCTATCCGGTCTGGGCCACATGCCTTATTAGTTTGTAGATTTGTCAAAATTTTTATTATTTTCAATGCATTGATCTCGATTTCATTGAACATTTGTCTATCGAAACAGTTTTTCGTTATTTGATTACTTTTGAGGAACTCATTGGAAAAAAAAATTGGATGCGCCCCGCTAGCAGACGGGAAAAGAAAGCCAATAAGTCCAAAAAACTTCTATTTAAGGTGCCAGTCGAACAGAATGCGGTCCTTTATTTCGGTTGATGGCAGACGTACATTACGTTAAAAAACGAAGACAAACGACGCCATTTTTGTTATGAAGCCCAAAAATATGGACAATTTAGAGGTTGTCAAAATGCTTTTGAAATTTCGATTTCGACGTGTATGACACGTAACAGTTTAATTTTCGCGGAAGCTGAAACACAAAGTTTTTTGGCTGCCAGAAGTCAGACGACAGACGTATAATCTGCTGTGTTAACGTAGATTACGACCGAATCATTGCAGGGGAAAATAAGCCCTCCAAGTTGTACCAATTGTAAAACTACAATCGTTACTAGCCCTATTTAACCAATCGAGAAGGCCGCGAACAAGAATTGCAATCCTTATTGGCAGTGAAGAAGGCGTTTCTTCAATGAAATGGGAGAAAACGGAAGGGTCTGGAGTTGTGCTCTGAAACTGTATTTTCGCTATTTTTTAACATCCTGGGATGGCCTGAATTTAATTTAACAAAATTTCATTTCCACTTCAGGATATGAGAATATAGGAGTTAAGGAAAAAATCAATCTCTACTGTTTAAAAACAATTATATTTTAATGAGATATTATTGATAGAAAACCAGCTCTGTTTTTAGGAAAGACATCAATGTCTGATGATTTTGAAACTCAACCATGACCCCATTAAATTCACAGGTATTCAAATTTGTTTGCGCGGTTAAAATGAGAACCTTGTGACAGAAAAGTGTTGTTCAACCCGATTTATGCAAGTTGAAAAGACAGTTGCAGAGACGATCGAAACACTTAAGGCTCTAATTAGGCGTTAGCCAATCACTACAGGCTTTACTTTCACATTCCGTATTTTCACGGGTGAACGTTATATATGTTTTTATGGCCCTCTTGGGTGGTATTCATAAGATCTTGACTGGCAATTCCATTCACTCAAGCCTCCATGCCGTGTTGATGCTCGTAATAAAGCTCCTAAACGGCAACCGGAAGGGTGGTCCGAAATGCAAAAGCTTTCAGGATTTCCTGATTTATCTTTTTAACATAGCTAAGACAAAAAATTCAATTATCGTGAAGTGAGGGGAATGGTCGTTTTTTTTCGGTTTCATAGCGGTATATGACCAAAACGAAAACAAACAAAAATAAGTATAATACCAAGAGAAAAAACAAAAAACAAATTATAACCGAAAAAAAAACAAAAAAAAGAAAATTAAATTCAAGGGAGAACACCTTCCACGTGATCAATCTTAATTTCCTCATTGGTGTTGTTAGATGAATTCATCTACAATATACTTGGTTGGAACGCTCAACCTGTAGTGGCTTCTTCTGCACGTTTATTTGAGTATTTAGACATATGTTAATGCTAACCTTGAATTCAATCCAGAATCGTCAAATGAATGAAGAAGAAGACCAACACAGCAACTCAAGGAGCAGAAAGAAGGGACACAAGGACATCACCAATCGACTGTTGGGTATTTTAAAAAACACTTTGGTATCATTTCCCGTAAAG